GAGAAATAATACTTGCTTCCAGTTGTTGTGGTAGGTATTAAATAAAATAATTTATGTAAATCACTTAGCATAGTACTTGTCTTATTAATAAGCACTCAATAAACAACAGTCCTCTAGACCACATCTCCAAAGCAGTGAATACAAAACAATCCACTAAAGTACCAAAGAACATATTATTTAATTTGTATATTACTTTATTTAAAAAATATATACATACATAAATACATATATAAAATTTCAAATCAATGTAAACATGTAATTATGTCATATTCACTGAATTTTGGAAGGTATTTTAATTTTTTTTCCCTTTTTGCTTGCCTCATCCCTATCTCTTTCTCTCCTTCCCCCATATCATCTCCCTTTCTCCACAATACACAAATATATTCTAGGTATTCCATGTTAGAATACTGGTATACATCTGCATTATATTAATTTATTAAATCTCTTTTTTGTTCTCAAGAATGTTTAAAGGATATGGGTATAGTAGAATCAAGTATACCTGCTTGGATTTTTTTTTTTTTTTTAAATTTGTGAAGTAGAGTCTTCTGCCTATTCTTGTATGTTCTATGAGATTGTGAGGCCACTTTTAAATGCCTCATTTGTACTTAATAAAAGGCAGCCAGACAATATGTTAACCTCAACCATTTAACCTACATGGTTAGAAATGTGTCTGATCATGCTCTGCCTAAAGAATCATGATTCTAGCACATCACTGAGATTATTACATTGCAGCTTCCTTAGGTATACTTATAGGGTGGCTGTAATGCTCAATGTGCTCTTTCTACTCAGCTCTATTATGTGCCTGGCAGTTGTGTATGGTGGAGGGAGTGATGCCAAGGAGAGTGGCACCTCACTACATTTTTCCTCTCTCTAAACTTCAAATGGCCTAATGGCTTCTGCCAAGTCAAAAGGCAAGGACTCACAATTAGAGGCAGAGTCCAATGTTAATGTTAAACCTATTGACAAAGAATACTTATGTTTTTTTTCTTTTTTAAATATTCTATCTTGACAACTTTTCAATGTCTATATATGTTTCATGGTTTCTTTCTTAATGATTTTTAGATTAATTTTTTATTTTGAGATAATTATAGATTCACATGCAATGGTAAAAAATAATGCAGAGAGATCCAGTGTACACTTTACCAAGTTTCCTCCAATAACAACAACAACAAAACAACTGTAGTAAAATATCAAGAATAAAATATTGGCATTGATAAAGTCCAGATACAGAAAATTTCCATCACTACAGTGATACCTACTGTTTCTCTTTTATTGCCACACCCACTTTCCTCCTACTCTTCTTCCCATATTTAACTCCTGTCAGTCATTAGTCTATGTCATTTCAAAAATCTTATATAAATGGAAGTATATCCTAGGTAGCCTTTTGATATTGGCTTTTTACGTTCAATATAATTCCCTCAAGACTCATTCAATTTGGAGCATGTATCAATAGTGTGTTCCCTTTTTATTGTTGAGTACTGTCCATGGTATGGATGTACCACAGTTTAACTATTCATCTGTTGAAGGACATCTAGATTGTTTCCAGATTTTGGCCATTGCAAATTAAGCTGTAATAAATAGCCATGTACAGGATTTTGTATGAACATATGTTTTAATTTCTCTAGGACAAATGCCCAGGAGTGCAACTGTGTGGTTGTATGGTAAGTATATTTTCACATTTTAATTTATTTTTCAAAAGGGAGGGAGGAAGGGTGAAGCAGAGGGAGAGGGAGTGAGAGAATCTTAAGCAGGCTCTGTGTCCAGCACAGAGCCCAACATGGGGCTCGATCTTACAACCCTGAGATCATGAGCAGAGACAAAATCAAGAGTTAGACACTTAACCAAATGAGCCATCCAGGTGCCCCCAGGTTATTTTTTGTTTGCTTGTTTGTTTGTTTGTTTTAGTTATAAGAGTGAGGACCTGGAAGGAATAGGGATGTTCTATCTTTTCCAAAACTGGAAGTCTCCCTTCCTGTATCTCTGTGATATTTTGGACAGTTATAACACCCATCCTCCATTACTGCAGACATAAGGGCATTGCATTATGACTTGGGGAATGATACTAGGTGTGTTAAGAGGTTGCCTCTCTATCTGTGGTACCATACCCCCCAGAGCATAACAAAACCCTTTCCTTGTTCTTGTGAATCCTGGGTAATGGGTATTATCTTCTTTCATGAAACATGGGAAGAAGATACAGCACATTTCTTTTTTTTTTTTCTAAACCAGTTTGTATATGAGTCTAAATTGCTGAAAGTCTAATATCAGTAATTTCAAGGGTTATCCTTTTTATGGGATATTACTAGATTTTGATGCTTACTTGGTCCCAGGGGGAAAAATGGGTATATTCCTTAGTTCTTTCTGTTTGCTGTGGATACTCCCATTGTTCATTCTATTACAGAATGACATCAAGATGACCTAAATTGGTCCTTGCTAGTCTGGCTACTGTGTCAGAAGAGCTACAGTTTCCCCTTTCAGCAAGCCTTGCCAGTGATCACAGGTTGAATTCCAAAATCTCTCACAGCTGCTCTTAGGGTCTTTACCTGTGGAGTCCAACTTCCACAGATGTCCACAGCCATATTTTACCACTTTAGGTGGTGTAAAGATCTTTTTAAAAATTTCTGTCACTAGCAGAACCTTTCATTCAACCCCTGACATATCTCTTGAGAAGTGATTAAGAACATGGAATATGAATTCGGACTACTTGGGTTAAAATCCTGCATCCATCACTTACTAATTCATTGACTTACTAAATCATAACCCCTGCAAGCCTCCTTTTCCTTATCTACAAAATCTACCACTATTATAATAGTGGATTAAACGAGATGATATTTTTAAATTGCTTCAACAATACTTGTTAATGTAATAGCATATCCTAGGTACAACAGGTTGATAGTAAAATATAAGTTCTATACACTTAATAGGTAAAATTTCTCTGTTTAGGCCACCTTCTGCTTTGGTCTCAAACTGATCATAGCCACTTTAATTGCTAAGGCTTTCACAGTAATCGCCCAGGGGATAGGGGTCTATTTTCAGGGTAGCCCTGAAATACACTGAAGATGTTAATCTCCTACCTGTAACACACCCTGTCCTGACCTGGGTGAAAACAGTCTAGACCACTGTTTCTCAAACAGTGGTTCACGGACCATCTGAATCAAATCTTTTAGGATAGGGTCAAGGCATGTGCATACTTATTAAGCTGCCCCCATGATTTGAATGTACACTAAAGTTTGTGAACCTCTTCTCTACATTCTCCATGCCTTGTCATATATGGTTGCTTCTTTCTGAAATGTCCATTCCCCTATGCCTACCTGTGGAAACAAAATGTAGCCTCCTCCATGAAGTCCTCTCTAATTCCCTGTTCACTACCTATAGCGGTTGCAATCTCTTTGGTTGCTATGGGCTGAATGAGATGGGGAGGTATCAGAACTGGGATGCTGGAGAGTGCTGGGGAGCACTGGAATGTAACACCTGGACTGGAGTGATGGGTTTGTACTTGGAAGTTGGGCAATAATATTGAAGTGATATTGCAAACACAGTCAAGGGAAGGAGGGAGAAAAGTCAGTAAACAGGACAGGGGGAGTAGGGAGGAAGCAGCAACGAAGTGGTTCCCAAGGGTTTCCCTGATTTGTCAGAAAAGTAAATGCATCTTCCCACGCACCCATCATATATGTTTTTTGTCAGGAGAGGGGGTGTGTGTACAAAGTTGGTATCAACCAGTAGCCTCACAGAGCCAGGTATCACTGTGTAACTGTTTGTCTGGGTAAGAGCCTGCCACCAGGCTGCTCTGAATGTTCTGAAGCCACAGACCAGGGTATGAAACTTCCAACTCCTGAGACTAAGCCAGTGCTCTGAACCTTTACACTCTCTTATCACTGTGTCTCTGTGGCTGCCTCCTTCCAAAATTTCTTTATCTCCATCTCTGTGATAATCTTGCCCGTCCCTCAGGACTCCTCTTCAAGTCCCAGTGGACTACGCCCAGGCACCTGAGCCTGAGGGACTGAGAGCGGGAACAGAACCAAGGAGTAAGGAAGAAGGTGTTCTACCCCTTGACTCTTCCTTTCCACCTCCTTGGGCTCTAGGGTACAATGGAAGCCAAAACCTCCAAGGAACTTCTCCCTTGTCAGCATGGCCTGTCATGTTCCCAACGCTATGCCTAAGGGGTCCCCGCCATCACGCCCGCCAGAAAGTGGGGCCCCCAGAGACCTGCATTTGGAATGCACCCCTCAAGGCACTGCAGTGCGGGAGCTCAAAGACTTCAATTTTTTGGTAAATATATATAGTGACAACTGTTTAAGATAACTGCAGAGAGGCGGAAAGAAGAGCGGCTGCAGAACGAACCTAAGAGGAGGGTCCCCCTGTAGCTGCCAAACACTCCCTTTCCCCCACTAAATTCAATGTCCTATCTCAGCCAAGTATCTCCCAGGATTGCAGCAAGTGCACATTTGTTTCTTCGTGCAGACAACTGTCCTGGTTCTTTCCAGCCTCGTGGTAGACTATATTTTAGATTTCATATTTTAAGTAGGGATTTGAAGAAGGCTGGTTGGCCGCTGTACTGAGAGCGGCGAAATATTCTGTGTCACTTAGTGGAAGTCCAGGACAGGAGCACATGGCCAGCTTGGGGATCCTGGAGCGCAGGCCCTCCGTTTATCCCGGCCCCAGTGGTCCATCCCACCTCCCCAGCTTGGCGAGCGCTCCCTCCCACCGCGCTTGCTTGCTTCTTGCCCACGCCTTCCGCTGCCTCCGCCCCCTCACCCTGGGGCCCCCAGCTTAGTCCTGGCCCTGAGCTCACTTAGCTTTGGCCCTGCCTCTGCCCCCGCACTACGACTACGACCCCGTTTCACTTCCCTTCGCCTGCTGCCCTCGCCTTCTTCGCCGCCGCCGCGTCCCTTCTTGGTAGGCTCCACGCCCGCCTCCTGGCCCCTGAGAGCCCGCGGTTCCAGCTGCCGTCAGGGCCAACACGGATGCCAAGCGCCGCCGCGGCCGCTCGCCCGCCGCCCACCATGGCCCCGCAGCAAACAGGTAGCAGGAAGCGGAAAGCGCCGGCGATCGAGGCGGGCGCCGCGAGCTCGTCGTCTCAGGGCTTGGCGGCGGCGGACGCAGAGGGGCCGCTGCTGCCCAAGAAACAGAAGCGGCCGGCGACGCGGCGCTCGCTGGTGCACTACCTGAAGGGCCGCGAGGTGGGCGCGTGGGGCGGCTCCGGGCTCTCGGGCTCCGAGGGCGAGCTGCGGGGCTATGCGGTGCAGAAGCTGCCCGAGCTGTTGAGGGAGCGCGAGCTGGCCCTGGGCACCCTCAACAAGGTGTTCGCGTCGCAGTGGCTGAACGCCAGGCAGGTGGTGTGTGGCACCAAGTGTAACACCCTCTTCGTGGTGGATGTGCACTCGGGCCAGATCACGCGCATCCCCCTGATGCGCGACCGGGGGCCCTGGTTGGCCCGGGCCCAGCCAACTTGCGGCATCCACGCCATCGAGCTGAATCCCTCCAAGACCCTTCTGGCCACTGGGGGTGAGAACCCCAACAGCCTGGCCGTCTACCAGCTGCCCACCCTGGACCCCGTGTGCCTGGGCGACCGCCATGGCCACAAGGACTGGATCTTCACCATCGCCTGGATGAGTGACACAGTGGCTGTGAGCGGTTCCCGCGACGGCACAGTGGCGCTGTGGCGGATGGATCCCGACATGTTCAGCGGCAGCATCGCCTGGCACAGTGACGCGGGTCTCCCTGTGTACGCCCACATCCGTCCGAGGGACATGGAGACCATCCCCAGGTCTAGCACCAGCCCCAGTAACCGCAAGGTGCGGGCTCTGGCCTTCAGCGGCAAGAACCAGGAGCTGGGAGCGGTGTCCCTGGACGGCTACTTCCACCTGTGGAAAGCCCGGAGCACTCTGTCCAGGCTGCTCTCCATCAGGCTGCCCTACTGCCGAGAGAACGTGTGCCTGACCTACTGTGATGAGTTGTCCCTGTACGCGGTGGGCTCCCAGTCCCATGTCTCCTTCTTAGATCCGCGCCAACGTCAGCAGAATATCCGGCCCCTGTGCTCCCGAGAGGGCGGCACGGGTGTGCGCTCGCTGAGTTTCTACCAGCATATCATCACCGTGGGCACGGGCCATGGCTCCCTGCTCTTCTATGACATCCGCGCCCAGAAGTTCCTGGAGGAGAGGGCCTCAGCCAGTCCGGACTCCTCTCCTGGGCCCTCAGGAAGGAAGCTCAAGCTCACCTGTGGCAGGGGCTGGCTCAACCACGATGACCTGTGGGTGAACTACTTCGGTGGGATCGGCGAGTTCCCCAACGCTCTCTACACCCACTGCTACAACTGGCCTGAGATGAAGCTCTTCGTGGCTGGGGGACCTCTCCCTTCAGGCCTCCATGGGAACTACGCAGGCCTCTGGAGCTAAGGATGGCTCCTGTGTTCTCAAAGTGCCCAGATTTACCTTCCAGTCCCCTCTCACTTTCCTTCCTCACGCTGTGTTTCTGCTTTTTAACTCAGTGTGACGCTTGTCTTCCAGGTGGAAAGTGCCCAACTTACCTGTCTATAGTGTATGTGAGAGAGAGAGAGAGAGTGAAAGAAAGAAGAGAGAGGTACCCTTCAGGCAATCAAAACTTGGCTTTAATATTTTTTTAGAGAGCACAAGCAGGGGGAGCGGCAGACAGAGGAAGAAGCAGGCTCCCCGCTGAGCAAGGAGCCCTGATGCTGGACTGGATCCCAGGACCCTGGGATCATGACCTGCGTAGAAGGCAGCCGCTTAACCAACTGAGCCACCCAGGTGTCCTTCCAAACCATCTTTTGAATTCATATTACAAAGAGTTTTAGCTAACTCTTACTTGTCTTCTTTGAGTTATATATTCTCTTTTTAATTCTATGCAGTCATGGTTTTAGAATTTTGTATATTTTCTTTATCCTGTTTTTTTTTTCGTTAGCAGTATTGCAATAATATTGTGTTTAGTTATTTTCATTGCAGGTAGATGGCATATTAAAATCATGCTTAAAAACAGGGTTTGTACCTCTGTTCTGGAAAGTTAGCCATAGTTTTATAGACCATTGTTCCAACTGGAAAATACATTCCAAGTTCTAGATTACCAAATTTAGAAACATTCCATTTGCAAATTGTAATCTTAGATATTTATAGTTTCTAAGTTGTTGGTGCTAAACATACTTTTTTAAAAAGTATTTCTCTTTGAAAAAAAGTTGTCATAGAATCTTGTTTTGTACCAAAATTCCAATTTGTCAGAACACTTTAGGAATGCAAGGGTTCTGTTGGTTGAATGTTCAGAATTAATCTGAAAACCTAATTGATCTTTTTCTCCTTCAATCCTTATTTAAGTTTTAATGACCTGCTGTTAAATAAATAAATGAATGTGTATTTTTCACTTCTTGCCTTAGTACTATCAAAATTTGTGAACATATTTGAATGTTTGTTGTTTATGGAACTTGCACAGAATTTCAGTGCCATATTTCAAAGCAGGGATTCTAAGTATAAAAATGCAGAATGTATGGCAGGCAGGGCAGAATGTATAGTGATCCAGGATATAGACTGGATATTTTGCTGTTGCTGTTTTTAATACCAAATATTATATTTCAGCATACTTTAAATTTTCTAATTCTGCTTAACAGTTAAGTCACAAGAAAAAAACTGCGAAGGACAAAAATAATCCCAGTCCCTACTCCTGAAAATGATGCTTAATTTGTAAAGTCCAAATTAGTAAGATTTTATTTTGTGAATTTCAAAGATTCTTACCTAAAGTAGAATAAATATGTTGTTAAAAAGTACTGATGTTATAGCCCTCAGTGTAATAATATGCAATTATCAGGGACACTGGAATTTTGTTTCAAGAAGATGGTCTGGAGATTAAAATAAATGGGATTAGGTTGAAGAGCATTTTGGGGCTCAGATAAATACAAATCATGGATTGTTAAGAAAACATTGTATTTCTCCATATATGAAAATATTGGAAATGAGAAGGGAGACTGACCTTTCCTCAAAAATGGCCAGATTATGCTGACCTCGGATTAGTATTGTGGCATGTCTGTTTTTCCTTAAATATTTTGGAACTCAGGTGCTCTCTTAGTGTCCATTCACTACATGCTGTTCAGTTGCAAATCTGAACCAAGAGTACTAAAAATGAATTAAGAAATACAGAAAAAATAAGCTTTTGTTTACAGAGATTGTTTTAGCAGGTTTATATAGTTGTTGTTACATAGTAGTAAATTGTATTTGTGTGCATGTATGTGTCTCCAACTCAGTCATAACTGGAGAGTAGAGAATATAATTGTCATCTTTGTATTCTCTCATTTCTCCATTAATGCCTAGCAAATCAAAGGCAATAAGTAAATATTTACTGAATGAATGTATTTGCCTCTGGAAACTTAAAGTTCAAAGCTATGAAAATAAATGCATAAACACATAAATAAAAGTTTACTTTTAAATAGTATGGGATCTTGTTTTGTTTTCCTCGCTTTGTTCTTTGCCCTAATTCATTTCCCAGTCAGGCTCTGGGGCTTATCCATTTTTCACCTGCAAATACTTAGATTTGAAGGTTTCTTTAAAATATTTTATGTTTTTTTCAGAAATTAGTTTTGAAAGACCTTTTTTTTTTGTAGGGGTTTGTTTTCTTACCTAAAAATAGTTATTTGCTAAAAACCTCTTTAAATATTACTTAAGAACTTCACTGAAGTATTCACTGCCTGTCTTGTTGTGGGATATAGGGTATTTTTATAGTATTTGGTCATTATTTGGGGACATTGGAAGAACATCTTCAGAGGAAATGACAGTTTTACATGAGGTGGGGTTTTAAAGAAGAATTAGAAGAAATATCTCTGATTTGTTCTTAGGCTTACCCCTTAACTTCATCACTGACTCACTCTTAAATTTCTCATAAGTTAGGGTATATATTTTTGATGCTGAATCACATGGCTTGTCTTTTAAAAACACTAAAAAGCTTTATTATGTATGTATTTATATTATGTAAAAGTTTAATTATTGTGAAATATTTCCTACTTCAGGGACAAAGTGTTCTACAGAAGTACAATTAATTATGTAGCTTGTGAATGAAATAATTGAAAAAGTAACACTCCTGGAAACCCATAAAGGTAGTTCACTTAAAAATACACAAGGGGATACATATTGTTATGTACAAGTTACCTATTATGGTTGCCTAAAACCTTTGCATTATAGATTCTTTTAACTATTCATTAAAAATGTTAGTTCCAGGGATGCCTGGATGGCTCAGTCGGTTAAGCATCTGCCTTCAGCTCAGGTCGTGATCCCAGGGTCCTGGGATGGAGTCCCGCATTGGGTTCCTTGCTCAGCGTGGAAGCTGCTTCTCCCTCTGCCTGCCACTCCCCCTGCTTGTGTGTGCTTTCTTTTGCTTTCTCTCTCTGATAAATAAATAAAATCTTTAAAAAATGTTAGTTTTATTTATCTAACTACATATTCACATATACCTCCCTAAAGATATTTCTGACGTGAAAATTTATGTTCTTCCCCTTTACTCTTTGGATGAGTTAATTTCTAATTTTTTTTTTTTTTTTTAGGAAGAGGAGTAAGAAATGACTAATCAAGGATATCCAGTGAAATAAATTGAGTACTCTTGAAAAAATTCATCTGTTAAATATACTCTAGCATTAATGATAAACAAAATTGGATTCTCCAGAGGTTGATTATTTTTCCAGCTGAACTCAGTGTTGAACAAGTTGTCAAAAATTTTCCATTAATTACTAATTTAGAGTGATTTAGAAAGTAATTCACAAAGCTGTTTTACTGACAGCTTCCTAATCTCTGCAAGTCTTAGGTAACCTGGCTACATTAAACATGTCATTATGTGAACTGCTCAGGGATGCTGTTCAGTGAGAATGACATGTGCTAATGTGAAAGATAGGCTGCATAGGCCACAGGCGTTTGCTTTAAGAGATGTTATTTTAAGATCTACTGAAATTGCTGCCTAAAACGATTTCCTACTATTGGCCTGCTGCAAACCCAGAGACACCTACCATTGAAGTGTGGCATCAACAAAAGAGCAATGGGGTTACAGGAGGTTGTGATGAAACAGGCTAATCTTTAGGAAGAAGGGGTCTTTAACTGCTAGATGTTTTTTTGCACAGGCAATGGTCTTTGCTTCATAGGCCCTCCCTCACCTTTTTTTTTTTCTTCTTAACTCTATAACATGCCAGGGTAGTATACATTTAACTTCCTCATATTTCCATAGTGAATGTTTTTGTTATTATCTTAATATAGCATTTATCGGATTGTAATGCAGCTAACTATATGAGCATCTTGCTACCCACCCCCCATTTGAATGTGAATTCTGTGGTCCCAACACTTAGCACGATAGGCTACACGTACATGGCACTGGGAAATCCAGAGCAATGAGTAATACAATAATTTCTTGGCATCAATTATTTTATCAGATTAGTTGACCAGAACATTTGCAAACATAATAAGGATCAGGTTGATGGATGAAGAACATCTTGAAACAGGCCCCATGGTAGTGATCATGGCAATTCATAGCATGGAATAATCTGGTTGGGCAGCAGAAATTTTGATTACTTAAGAGTTTCATAGAGGGCTCTTGGTTCTGGTCCATCAAGATAAAATGGAATAAATATTTTAGAATCATAAAAACCTGAGTTTGAATCCTATTCTATTATTTTTTTACTGAATAACCATGGGTGTGTTGCTTAACTTCTCTAAACCTGACCTTATATTACTAATTGTGCAATCCCCAGAATGTAGCATGCTAATACATATAAGCATTCTACTAATATTAGTTCCTTTTCTCTTTAGATCCCCACTAATTCTGTTAAAGGATATGTGTAATTTTTTATTTAATTATTACAGTTTTACAAGGAAATTTTTATGTGCATTGTGGGAACTTGTACATATAAAAAAGCAAAATATAAGAAAACAAAAATCGCCTCATTTCCATCAGCCAGAGATTACTACTATTTAACAACTCAGTGTATAACTTTCCAGATTTTTCTTTTCTTTTTTTAAAGATATTTATTTATTTGAGAAAGAGAGAGAGTGTGCACAAAGGGAAAGTGAAAGGGAGAAACAAACTCCCTGTTGAGCAGAGAGCCTGACATGGGACTCCATACCAGGACCCTGAGATCATGACCCAAGCCGAAGGCAGACGCTTAACCGACTGAGCCACCCAGGCGCCCCAGATTTTTTTGGTACATAAATGTATTCATCTATGTTGTCACTACTAAAATGAGAATATTTTCTGTAGTTTAGTTTGTAATCTGCTTTTTTCAGTTAATGATGCCATATTTTATGGCAATAAATATTCATCTTAACTATTATTCAGGATGTTTTTAATGTGTAGAGGTTGAAACTTAAAATGGAGGTGAAATCGTTAGAATAACATATCATACATTTAACCCAATACAGTAGCC